ATCTTTTATATTGTAATCTTCGTCTTGCCATTTTCCATATCATTCTTGCCCAACTGTTTCATTTTCTGCTATGAAGTTATGAATTTTCAGTATGTCCTCACCTGATAGTCTCTCATTTTAGTCATTATTTCAATTTTTTAGAATCCTGGTAAAGCCATCGCTGAGTGTGGTCCCAACATCCCTCACTATGGTTCTGGAGCAAAAATTAAGAGATCATCATCAAGCAGACAGAAATTTCCTAGGCCGTCTTGGGTCTATGGTGGACAAAAGAATGGTGCACAAGAAGCACATGCATCATTAGACTCTCAGCCAGTTGATTCATCATCAATTTCAAAGTTTTTTGGAAAAGGGAAATGTTCTAGCAGTGGAAAGGATGCAAAAGAAACTGAAGTTGGAGTTGATATACACCCGATGCAATCTGTATTTTTGGGCTCTGATCGTAGGTATAATAGTTATTGGCTTTTCTTGGGCCCTTGTAATGCATATGACCCTGGACATAGGAGGATTTATTTTGAGTCTTCTGAAGATGGTCATTGGGAAGTTATTGACACTGAAGAGGTACCCTGTCAGCTTTTGTCATAATGCATGGCCCTTTCTTCATTTGTTATACTGTCAGTTAAAATTTGTTTTCTCATTTTTTTTGAGAATATGTCTTCTCATTACAAAGTGAGGATTTACTCTTTTTTCTTTAAAGTTTATAATTAAGCTGAAAGAGAATTTGGAGTTCTTTTCTGTCTCATATGATAAAGTGATTTTTCTTTGTTACTGACTTTGAACTGTTATTTTTTGTTTGTCCCTTATTCGTGGTGCAGGCATTGCGGGCCTTGTTGGCAGTTTTGGATGACAGGGGTAAACGTGAAGCTTTTCTTATTGAATCCTTAGAGAAGCGGGAAGCTTCACTGTGTCAAGAAATGTCAAGTAGACATTTATATGATGCAGGAATCAGGCGCATGCCATCTGATTCATCTGAGATGTATGTAGTCAGAGAAGACAGTTCATCTCCTGTTTCTGATGTTGACAACCTAAGCTTGACAGTGGCCGTGAATGAATCTTTGACCTCATGTGGTGCTATAGTTCTTGAAGCTGGGAAGAAGGGAGAAGAACAAAACCGAAAGTGGAAACGTCTTCAAGAATTTGATGTGTGGATATGGGATTGCTTTTACATGAACCTTAATGCTGTAAAACACAGCAAACGTTCTTATCTTGATTCGCTTACCCGATGTGAGAGTTGTCATGATTTGTACTGGAGAGATGAGAAGCATTGTAGGATTTGCCATACTACATTTGAGCTTGATTTTGATCTAGAAGAAAGGTATGCCATTCACGTGGCTACATGCAGAGAGAAAGGAGACAATAGTACATTTCCAAAGTTCAAAGTCCTACCATCACAGTTGCAATCACTGAAAGCTGCAGTCCATGCAATTGAGGTGCACTATCTTTTTTTATTGGTTTTTGTCTTGCTACCTTACTTTTTCTGTATAAAACTATATTGTTTATTAAATTGTCATTTGTATATAAAACATAGGGACATGCCTAGATTCAATACATCCCTACTAGATGACATGGTATGTATAAGCACGTTCATTTTTCTTTTACTATCAACTTCTTTTTCCTCCCCCCACCCTGGCATTTTTTTTTTTCTCTTTTTTCCTTTAATCTGCCTACACTTGCTCATATTAATGATAAGCAGTGATGCTAGTTGTGCACCTAGGCACTAAGGTGTGGTGATTCTTGATCTTTGGAACACATTAAGCTGTGTATGAGAATAACCTGTTTAATGTTTATTAACAAATTATATATTTTAAGCATATTAGATACAATACACAGAATTTTCTTTTTCTTTTAGTGCAATATTGTGTGTGTGTCAATTAGAAATTACCACCTTAATCCTTCTGACTTGGGCAAGTGCTTCTTTCATGTATTGTGCCTTGAGCAATATAGGGGTCCTAGCTTCTAAAGTGGGTCTTGCAGCTTTGACAACAGCAATTATAAATAATTCTTTCCTAAATTTATTTTTTCACATTTGTTTCATTTGTCATGATTTAAAATAATTTACTCAGTTTTAATTTCAAGACTAAAATTTGCCTACAAAAGCTTATGGCTAACTTTGTTGATTACATGCTCTTCATGAAAAGTGAAATGCCTGGCTTCATGAGAAGTCCGTTGCATCTTTTCTTTCTTTAGCAGTCTCATGTGAAGCTTCGGTAGTATATTTATAATTCATTTATATATGTAAATAGTTCAGGAAAAGAACTTTACGTGATTCTTTATTTAATGATTATGTCAATTTCTTATCCTTTTATGCAGTCAGTTATGCCTGAAGATGCTTTAATAGGTGCTTGGACAAAGTCTGCTCACAGGTTGTGGGTCAAACGGCTACGACGGACATCATCTTTATCTGAGCTTTTGCAGGTATTTTTTTAAAAATCTTTCTATGTAATTCCATACTGAAGAGTGTTCTTGAAGTAATATGATAATTTTTGTACTGAGGCTAATTGTAAATTATTTTCATATTGGGATTGGACATTTCAAATATGTTTGCAGGTTGTTGCTGATTTTGTTGCTGCAATTAATGAGAATTGGTTGAATCAATGCCATATTGAACAAGGGGGTTGTACTGCTATTGAAGAAATCATAGCATTCTTTCCAACCATGCCGCAAACATCATCTGCAGTTGCACTCTGGTTGGTGAAGTTGGATGAATTTATTGCTCCATATTTGAAGAAGGTTCATTCTGAAAAGGAATTGGAAAATGAGACCAGATGTTCAGGTACATTCCTTCTTTATCTACAAATTTTCTTTACATGTGTGGTGTTCAAGTCATCAAAGTTGGCATCTTGTTTCTTTCTATTCACTGTATGGATTTATTTTGGTTACCATATATTACTTAATTGGTTTTTTGGTTATAGTGAGGATCCTTGCTGGCAGATATGACAGATTATTTATTGTTGTTATGAAACTATTTTGTTCTATGAAGACTCATTTATGATATGTAGAATGTGATCTTTATACATTTTAATTTCTTAAATAAGAGCAGTTGATGTTGAAGTTAAAAAATGAGAAAAACACATGGGATCTTTTTTTATACTAGTTCACGGTGATGGCAATTTCTTAGTAAGCAGATAAAATATCTAATGGTTAAGGTTTTAGCTTTGATGATGTTTCAGGGATCAACCTTGAAGGTTGGTTCTAGTTGCTAGTTAGTTCTCCTGGAAAATTTTCCAGGCAGGACAATGTTCCTGTGTTTTTGCTTTATCTTAACATAACAGGATACTAGTGCAAATCAAATTGGCACACTTGAAACTTATTGTGAATTTTTTTTTCTTGACGATGTATTGAAAAAGATAAGAAATTTGGTAAAATTTGTTTGTTCTCAAATGTTATTTCATGGTGACCCTCTGTTTGTGCCTTTCCCATTCTTCACAAGTGATGACAGCTGCCCTGCTATTATCAATTTTGCATCTTACAGCCAATTTTCAGGACAGCATGGCTTGGAGTGGAACTGAGGCTGCTTATTTGAACTATGCATCAAAATCTTTTTAGTTGCTCATCATTTTGGCAATATTAGAGGCATTGAGGCAACCTACCTGGATGACTAGATAGATCATATATCTTGTTAATTCTGACCTAAACAAAGTTGTGAAGTTAATTGTTATGGCAATTATCATCTTTGAAATATGTGGGAAGGATTTAGAGAAATAAAGTTTAGATCAAAAGGAAGGGAAATTATTCACCATTTGAGCTTTGCATCATTTTTTTTACAGTTGTCCTTTTAGGTTAGTGGAAAAAAGCAATTGTGCATTTTTAAGGGAAATAAAAAAGGAACGTGCATGGACATAGAGAAGTTTTGTGATTTCAATTGCTTGTACATGCCCTTTCATACCAGATTCTTTTGCAGATTAGCAATTGTTCTGTGTTCCTGTGACTTAGATGATCTGTTGCTTTTGATTCAGTAATTAATGTGGGTGTTTTCATTTCAGGTAGAAGAGCTCCAAAAGAATAAATCCAGCATTCTTCAGGGATTATGCAGATGTGAAGCGCATTTGCTTATACAAGGCATTTCACTTTCGTCTTCTGTCTTCGAATGCTCATCCTAATGCCTAACAACAAATTACTGAACCTGCAACAGCTTATCATTTTGACTATTCATCATTGGAGTATCATCTGAATGCATTGAAGTTTGATTTCAAAGGATGAAAGCAGAAAACGTATGAGTTTGTACAGAGCAGAGTTTTGACTAAACTTTCATTTTTGAATGTTTACTCGGGCAATCTGGGGCTATTTAGATGATGTACAGTGTTAGATACATACATATTCAGGAAAATCAAGTTTCTGTTTTTGGTACAAAACTGTTACCATGGTCATGGTCCCCAACTCAGTTGAATGATTACCACCTCTGTTTCTTCATTGTAGAAAAAAGAATGTTGCAGTTCCTTGTCTAAAGAGTAATCTCATTTCATTGATGTATACAGCAAACTCGTCATTTTAAGTTGGCAATGGGGGAATAAAATGTTGCCAGCGTTTGCTGTGCAGGAGATACTCTAAGCATCTTTTTAATATTTTATGATCTGTCAAAGGTTCTCAATGATTCCAGTTGTCATTTTGGCTTTTGTGTTTGGCAACAGTCTTGTAATCTTCTCTTTTGACAGAGTGGTTCTGCCAAGCCGTATGCCTTTTTATTTCACTATTCTCTAGTGAAACATTTGCGACTGCTCAAGCTTACCAAATGTACTACAAGTATCAATTAGTTTCAGATTTCAACGAGTTTAAATTTTTAGGGATAAAGCATGGTCGATCAAGTAAATTCTTCGGTTAACAGTTGTGTAATCTATAAATAATTAACATATAATTTGTTGATAAAATATTAAAATTTTAATTTTAGTAAAATTTTGACAACTTTAAATACTTAAAAACAAAAAAATTTTAAAATCTCAAATCAATACGAGGTTGTCGCATGGAAATGTGGTTGTCCAAGGTTTTACCCCGCACTTCTTTTTCTTCCTTTCTTCTTCCCTTTGATATAGATATACTCTGGAATTTTATTATTGATGTTTAAAATATTGGTGCAGGCTGAGCGTTCTCGATTGCTTGCAAAAGAGGAAAAACAACTAGACGAACATCATTTTTCTAACATGATATTATCAATTTCCAACCATTTCCCTTTGGTGATAATATAGAGCTGCATGGAAAAGCATTTCGGAAGGGGATGCTTCCCTAAGTATCCAAGTTGATGCTATCACTGAATGGTTTCGTCCACCCAACGAAGCTGTGACCGTGACTCCCTAAATCATTAACCATTTGTGGTCCCTCCGTTTTGTGTCAAGACATTAACATCCAAATATCAAGATGAATGTTTAAGATCCTTCACTGTCTCAACAACAGCTGAAAAGTCCAGGTCGCCCAACCCCATGCTTCTGGCCTTCTTGAAAGCCTACCAGCAAAATCAAATAAAAGGTTTCAGTTTAACCATCATAGATCTTCTAATAAAGTTTCCAGAATTTGATATGGTACACTATAAGTTGCAATAAAATGTAAAGGTATCCATCAAATCAGCAGCAGTAAATTGCATCATGCCTAAACTATGTATGAATGCAAGTTTAACAACTCCCAGCATATTTAACATGGAGAACGGCAAGCAAGATTGAAAGAAAAGAACCTCATTGGCCACAGCTGCTACCGGCATAGATACTGCATTTTCATCCCCAAGGGCAAGAGCCAACCTCATATCTTTCTGCTGATGTTTCAAAGGAAATGCAGGGGAATAATTGAGCTGGAGCATTGCCGGTCCCTTTCCTTTAAACATTGGATTAGCAATTGCACCCAAGTCCTGCCAGAAAGTAGTTCAGTCACTGCAAGTTTCTGCGCGGCCACAAATTGACAGAATATTTCAGTTGCAGTCATACCAGTACATCAAGAAGGCTATGTGGATTCAGTCCGCTTCTCTCAGCCAGTACAAGTCCCTCCGAAAATGCATTCATCATACTGCAGAGGACAAAGAACTGTGATAAATGTCCTGATTTTGAGTACATGGATTTGTCAACTCATAGTAAGAGGCAAGTAATTTATTGATAGCATAGTTGTATTCTATAATGCATAGTTATCTTTGAAGCTCATATAGGCCCAGGTAGTCGAGACATAAAGTAAGAACAGAATATGAAAGCTTTACCCTAGCTCTAACATGATAATTAGAAGCCAATGTTGCCCCGACTTGTTTTACCAAAGAATTTAGTGATATATGTTGTATAATTCTAATCGTAAAAGTTTTCACCAAAATATTGAGTATACCAACCATGCAAAACTGACCATTCCAGCTTATTCATAGACCAAATAGCCATACTAATATTTCTTCTTTTAATCTAGTAATATTTCATTACTAAAATGATTACTTGTTTATTCCACAAATAATAATAATAATAATAGCAATGATGATAGTCATCCTAGCTCTATTTCAATGGTTTTTTTTTTTTCTTTTTGGGTTCAGAAAATGAAAGAAAGAAAGTGCAACCATTACCTGCCCATTATCATGTTGACAACAAGTTTCATTTTTGCTCCATTTCCAACCTGTCCCAAGAAGAAAGACTTCTTTCCCAAGACATTGAAAGCTGGAATTGCTTGCTCATACAATGCCTAAATTTACAAACAGTGACACATTGCAGTTAACACCAAAGTGAATATAAATTTCTAGGCTACAAATATATTAGCAGAAATGATCAAAGAAAAAGGGTGAATGGATTCCGTTGTCTTCCAGTCTATTATTTTCTTTACTTTTTCACCATGGAAGTCAAAGGCCAGTTAATCACTTGAACATTTCAGTTGAGCCCAAAATGTCACTCAAAAGAAGTTCCACCAGCATATTTTAAAGGAAAAGGTTAAAATGTCACAATATGAAAATAAATGTATGACACATTTTCTGAACAATGGACAGCAAACTTCAGTCTCATTTATCTCACTCATATACTTCCAATCACAAAATTCCACCTGGAGTTAATTTCCAGCAAACGAGGTCCACTGACTGTTTGATTCTAGCACATGGAATGAGATACCAAAATGAGAAAAAGGAAGCATATGCAACATTGTTCTTAAAGAAAGCTCCTAGATCAGTTAAATGTAGAACAACATTTATAAATGAAACCTGCAATGGCAATGATGTTAGGTTTCTTAAGCTAAATTTAAAACTCATCATTTTATTCCCCTTTTCTTTTCTTTTAATTAAAAAAATGCTGAAACTTTACTATGAACTTCAGGAATTTGGTTCACTCAATTGACAGAAAATGATAACAATTCAACTGATAAAGGCTATTTTACTTCCTTCCCTGGCTGTCACAATGTTATTCCTATCTAGCGGAGAGTCAAAATCGGCAATTCAATGATTCATTCCACTTTTACCTAGTTTGTGTAAGCTCACTATAATTATGAAAAAACCAAGAACATCTATGTAGTCCACATATGTTTTCATAAAGTAGCACATTTTAGTTGTTTTAGTTGGCCTTGATACAAGTCTACAATCTTGAAATACACTATGAACACACGTGCCCTAATCCCTATTCATCAACACTAACAAGTACAAAATAGTAAACTTATCTACCAATTTACCTTGTCTCCAGCAGCAAGAATCACTAGTTGACCAGTTTCTGCAGGCTGTTTGCTACCAGAAACAGGGGCCTCAAGGAACTGACCACCTTTTGATGTAATAGCCTGTAGATATCACATGGAAGTAAGAAGAGAGAAAATTCATTCATTAATAGGTAAATTAGTAAATATCAAAATATCAAAGAGTAAATCAAATTTGTTTTATTAGAATCTTCCTCTTATAAAGAGCTTTAAAACATTGTCTTCTAAAATATCCATGGTCTTTGTCGGAGAGCAAAACAGTAGCATAACATTGACACCATTTCAACAATCAATGGTATATTTGCATACATCATAAACAATGTTTTTCTTTTTCCGAATTTAAATATAAACACAGTTTAAACTTAAACCTCAGAGAATATGATACTCAAAAGACATTTTTATTGACAAAATTATTTAACCGGCTATTCAACTTTGAAAAATAAATTCTTTTCTGCTTGATAAAAAAAAATAAAAACTCATGAAAGACATGCCATTATTTGCCTATTATCTTGATGTTCCACAAAATTACTATATCTCAACAGAAGACCCTCTTACTTTCTAACTTCTAAACATTAAAGAAACTCCATCAATCAAGTACAAAAGAGTGTCTACTAACCTCACTGATTTTGCAAGAAGTCTCTGCATCAACAGTTGACATGTCGATGTAACCTTTACCACTCCAAGTTTGCTCAAGAACACCATCTTTTTCAAACACAACCTAAGCAATCACCAAATACGCTTTAGTTGCAATGACAGTTAATTGAGGATGGCAGTGACTCAAAATGTATCATGCATGTACACCAAAATTTGTAATTACCGACACAGCCGCTGCAGGATCAGACAACATGGCAATGGTGATCTTGCACTTCTTAACTACTTCTGCAGGGGTTTCTCCAACAGAGGCACCATGAGCCATCAGTTCAGTACACTGCAATTACTAAAATTTCAATGCCACATTTTTTGTAATAAAAATAAGCCTAATATCAAGCTACAGAAAATCCATATTATTAAAGCCAACTATTAATGTTTTCACCAAAAAGAAAAAAAAAAACTTTTCTTTCGACAGAAACAGGAAAATAAACACAATAAATCCATCATTTTAGTTCGAAAATTTGATTTTTTTAATCAATTTCAATCAATCTCCTTTTTTCTTATTTAGTTTCCCACCTTGCAAAAAAAAAAAGTATATACAAAAATATCTTTCAACCCAATAGATAAAACTAAAAACAAACAACAACCCACCACTCAGATCTGGAAATGGACACAATCTGCAATTGATGATAATAATATTCCAAAGAAAAGTAAATACCAGAAAAAGAAAAAGCATTTTTTGGTAGAGAGTAATGAAAAGCAAGTAATGGTACCTTAGAAAGAGTTCTGTTCCAAACAGTGACTTTGAATCCATTCTTCAGCAAATTCATTGACATGGCTTTTCCCATTATTCCCAGTCCCAAAAACCCAACCTCCATTTTCTTCTTCTTCTTTGTTTACTCTCTCTTTCACCGATGAACCTTTCCTTTCCTTGTTTACCTAGTATTTCTTACCAGACTTCATTTTTATAGAATTATAGTTATAGTTACCAAAAAAAAAAAAAAGCAGAGCAATCTTTTGCGTTTAATGTTCGATAAAAAAATGATAAAAAATCACAATCAACCTTGTCACCACATATATATTTTAATTTAATTTAATTAATTTAGTAGGTTATCGAGATTTGTTACTAAATTAAATATATCTACCTTTGATAATTATCATGTTTGTCGTTAATGAATGGATGGATGTATGGGTTCCACGTAAGCCTCTGACAAGGAGGATTGATCGTGCTCCACTATTCTCGGAATCCTCGGCGGTCATATTACTATGTGCCCTCTTATCCAACATAACTGGTGTGGAACACCAATAATCTTTTAACACGTTGGACAACTTGAGTTAAGTGTATTGGGTTGGTTGTGCTACTTTAATTGCCCACCTGCGGATTCGAATTTCATACTGTTGCACGCAGCAGCTGGGCTTGCTTTGACAATACAACCCTACAACAAACTAACACCTATCTGTTCTCTGACTCTTATTTTTCCAATGGCAATGAAGAACAAAGCAAACAATAGCAACAAGAAGAGACGACATTTGATCAAGCAAGAAGAAGAAGAAGAAGAAGTCATAGGAGACATCGAAGATTTATTCAGCGAAGAAGACACCCACAAGATAAGGGCATCGTTGTTGGAATGGTACGACAAGATACAAAGAGACCTCCCTTGGAGAAGAAGAAGAAGAACAAGAAAGAAAGGAAATGAGGGCATATGGGCTATGAGTTTCAGAGGTGATGCTACGACAAACAATGGTTCAGACTGTTTTTAACTACTACAACCGTTGGATGCAAAAATGGCCCACCGTTTCGAAAAGAAACCCAAATGATTTTGTTTCCCATTTTCCCTTTTTTTTTTTTTTTTAAGGCTATAAGTGTAAGAGCCGGAACACATTTTTTTTATTTTTCTTTTTTGTTAGGGTTGTGGTGGACCACTAATTTGCTCCTTTTTTTATTATTTTTAACTTATCAGGATACGGAAATAAATATCTATTTTTCGTACAGAAGGAAAATTAAAGAAACCAGTGGCATATATTCTCCTAAACTTCTTGTGGATCAGAAGACACTTTTCTATTCATTCAGTGCTCCTCCTGTTGTCTGCTCAGCAGTCTTTTCTGCCTCTGGCTCAAAATAAAATAAAGAAACTCAACAAGGCACCAAAATCCCAAAAATGTTTGATGACTGAACAAAAAGTAGGGAAAGAATAAAATTGAAGTAGCCAGAGCTTCATCCAGTTCCAGTGGTATCAAAATGGCTATACCGGAAGCAAGAGCAATTGGCTTTTCAAGCTTTCCGTCGTCTTCTTCATATCTTGGTTGGAACTCCAGAGCCACCTCCTCTTCATTCTCATGCACACTATCAATGGTAAGTTTATTTGTACATGCTACAATTTTGTATCATTTAATTCAAGCAACTGTTTTGACTAGTCTATTATCACCTGCCTCGGCCTATGCTCTTTATTTTCCTCTCTTTAAATAGAAAAAACGGCAGTTCTGTACTGAAAGCAATGGAAATGAATCTGAATCTTAGATTTAGAGTTCAAAAGACTGGGGAGCTCTGCAACGTTTTTTCTCTTGAACTGAATGGTCATGAGATAACCTAGTGCTTCTAATATTATGCTGAATCATTCGTCTGAAACCTTGCAGCAAATAGTCAGTAAGTCAATTATTTCCCGTGGATGTGTCACCTGTTCTGCTGTGCAAGAATCGTCTAGTCCTACAGGTTGGTTTCTCCATTCTTAGCGGTACGTTAGAATTCTTTTCCTTAGAAGCAAAGCTCATCTTCTGAATTTCGATTTGCTTAAAAATGTGTTTCTTTTGCTATTAGCCACTGCTAAAACAAAGGAAGCCACTCCTGCTGAAGCAAAACCATCAGCCATTGCTGAAACAAAGGCTGCAGCTGCTGCTGAGAAGGAGGAAGTCAAGGCAGCCCCAAAAGCAGCAGCAGCAAGGCCCAAACCTGCAGCAAAGACTCCTGCCAAACCACTGCCAGAATTGATGGTGGAGGATGTTATCCCTTCATTGAAAACAATACTTGAAGGTCAAGATGATCTCTCCGAAATTGAGCTCTCTTTCCAAGACAACAAGGTTTCTGCTCCATTTTCTCACTAATCAATTGTCCTAAAAATGGCATTTCAATTTGCTCTAGCTGATAGTTTATGAATCTTCCCTTTCAAACTTGACAGTTAGAAGGTTCATTCCTGAAGAAGGGCTGTCCTTACTCATTCTGGGCCTTCTTCCCTAGCGGAGACCTTTCAGGTATTGTAACTTCAGCAATTGGAAACAACCATCAGGTACATTGCCCATAAATGATCTGACATTTTTCTCCATTTGCACAGGTCCAAAAGGTTTTTCATTGTCTTCATATGGCTCAGGAGCAAGCACTGTCGAGCCCTTCCTCGTTGATGAGAAGAAAATTACAGCGAAGCATGTAGTCTTCTGGGTTGAAAAGCGTTTGGCAGCCCAAGGAATCATTCCTGTCTGGAAAGAATGATTTATAGCATAAAATCCATGCCATGTAATTATTCATGTCGGAAAATAATGCTCGCATATAAAATTTTCCAATTCATTTAACACGTTATTCCACAATCCACACTGTCTCTCCCTTATCCTTCTCAAAATAATAATAATAATAATAATAGAACATTGTATAGATAACAGAGGTCATAAATTTTTCATCTAAATTATGTGTCCGAGGACCAGGGAGTTCGCAAATGCCTGGACCATGCTTTACAGTAAATAACATGATGGCCCAAACAAGTAGCATTTAAGTAACTAATAAACACATACAACAGGTACTTTGAGTCCAAAGCTCATAAAGTACTTCATAAGTCCACGTCCACAAATGTCAGATTGTGTCGGTTTTTAGTTCTCAGAAGTGGTATTGCGAATTGCACGACGAAGTTCACCCAAGAAGTCCATCTGTGAACCAGATGAAGGTCCAGTACTGTTTGTTGGGGACATCATCTGAGGAAAATAAAAGCCAACCGCGTAAGGAAAGAGGTTTGTGAGAAGAAGAGATGGAGAAGAGGGGAGGGGAGGAGGGAAGAATACCTGATGGGGAAGTCTCAAATTCCTCCAGGCTGAATCACTACTTCCAGAGTACATAACTGGTCTTTCTGAAACAAGGAAATCCAAACTAAATACTAAATAACCATCTAGTCTGGTCTGTTTTTAGCTCACAGATAAAAATAAAGAAGAAATTATCCACAAATACACAATCATGGAAACATGGTCAGACAGAAGGACAAGCACAAATAAATAAACAAAAAACAGCATGACAAAGGATGCTAAATGCTAATATAACACTCAAAATTCCATAAACAACTGGCAACAACCATAGAACTGCCACCTACCATAAAATCTAAAAGAAAAGAGCAACTTCTGGCTCGTTGGTAACTTTGTTTAGCATCCTAATGCAGTGAAACAGAATGGTATAGGAGCTGGTGAAATTGTTTTAAGAAGATTCATAACCCATGCTTGGAATGAGGAACCTTTAAAGATATCTTAGCGACAGAGTTCATAGAAAAACGATGATTTTATCCACTAGCATAGCTCAATTCCCACTGGTTTGTGCTAGGGCATGAACTAACTTATTGCCCAAATTGATCCCCATCCCCCAAATATCTCATATTCATAGGACATCTTCAACGATGATGCTTAAATGTTGGTAATCTTTTCATTCCCTCTTTCCAATCCCTTCAACTTAACTAAAGCATTCACTAGTTGTCAGGCTCAACCAAAAGCACCAACTCATGGGCCAAACAAAGAAATTATCTCATGGTTAGCAGTTACAGGCCCCTATTCTACACTCAGCCTGATCAACCAACTTCAACAGCCCAGTACAAAAGAAACTGATAATAGCTACTACCATAAGGATGCCTTAATTTTACAAAAGTCAATTGCCAAGAGCCAAACACAACCATAATTATACTTCCTTTTACCTAAATTTCGTTTGTGGTTACTTTTGGAAATAAATACCTAACAACCTGCATTTGACAAATGCAGAAATTTTGTGCTGCAAAGATACATGTGAATATAAAGTAAATAAAAAGAATACATATCTTTTTACAAGCCATCTGTTTTGTTCATCACTTCATATAATCTCCAGAGATGGAAATCAAATTCCACTATCTGCCAAAATGCATGTAGAATGCAACAAGATAGAATAAATCATGATCACCTAATTTCACATGGAACAACAAACACCACATACAACTAAACTCACCCCATCCTCTTTCTTTTTGGACCAGGAGTGTTACTGACACGTATAGAACTACATTAGAAGGTCTCTTGGAAGACACACCTTTATAATTTTCTCAAAGCATTCTTCTTTAGTTTATAAGGAGACCTTTGTTACTTATCGTAGCAGTCTATCCAATCCAATTCTCCAAATATATAGCTTGCATAGCTCATCAGATCACTAATAACATATGCACCATTTATCATGCAAATAACGTTCCACTATGGGATATGCAAGTTCATGTGCACAGAAAGGTCAACAAGCCAATCAAATCATATATGAAATGGAAAATTTTATAAGTTCCCGTTCTTCACTCACCAGACAAGTCAATTGATGTATCGCGGTATTGTCGTAAGACAGCTGCCCAACCTGCATTTGAGGAGATAAACAATGAATGTAGATCAGTCATATGATTGCATGCATGGATCCTTATAAAAAGAAACAGAAAATCATCTCCCCAACTATCAGTAGTTTAGATCACTTAAGCGTAATGATGCATTTGAGCAAAACACTCAAGCACCTAACAAAATAACCAATGTTTTCGGAATACATAAACAGGGGCAATCCCTATAATAAATTCTTAACAAAAATATACAACTTTCGTTCAGAGTAACCAAGGCTCTATTTGGTAAAAGCTTTTACTTTTTGCTTTTCACTAAAAAAAAAAAAAAAAGGAAGAAAAAAAGCAAAAATAAAATTTGAACAGAAAACTAGAGACAAATAGCAAAGCCAAAAGTGTGTAGAGATTACATACGACTGCTTAAAAGGCGAGAAGCTTCACTTCTAGAGCAGCCTTCTAAAGGTATTAAAGCCGGACGAAGGTGGTCATCATTGAGGATAGCACTGCTCCCGGCATCCCCGAGTGGATTATTATTTCTCGACGTGGCAGCACCTTGATTCTTCTCTGAATCATTCCCATAAACATTGTTAGTCCAATCAAACCAATCTGCAAGATTTAATTACAACTCAGTCTACCAAATGAATAAAAGTAAAATTGACATTTTTATAAAAATAATTTACTTACCTAAAAATCACAGGAAATAAGAAAGGAACAACCAATAAATTAAATTGATAAAGAAACTCACCTCCAGATTTACGGCGGCCGAGAGAACGATTTCTGCAATTTTAAGGCAAAGCTTAAATAAAATAAAATAGAAATTAAAGAAAGAGAGAAACGGAAGAGGGTCTTTAGGGATGGGAAGCTACCGTTGATTGGGAGGAGCGTAGCGCTTGATTGCAGGGGCGGAATCAGGTGCGGTGGGTGTAGGGTTTTCCAACATCCTCCTCTCCTTTTTCCTTTCTCTGCTTCAAGAATACTATCGATAATCTCTTTCTTATTACTTTTCTATTCCTCTTACAGCGGAGCGTACGGACTGCGGAGTCCGGAGTTCGATTTCCGATTGCGTCGCGGCTGTGGGTCTTAAATTCGGCTGATTTTGGTCCAAAGCGTGTTGACTTTTATTCAAGCAACTCCTCCCCAAAACGCCCCGTTTCCTATAATTTTCTTATTCTTTTCAAACAAGCCTACCAAATAAAAGAAAATTCCACCTTACAAGTTACAAATTGTCTTTTAAAAAAATACAAAAAACAAAACTTATATTTACTTTTAACTTTTGTCGTTATATATCCGTGAACCTATGGCACAAATTAAGCAGTACTCGCTAATTTTTTTGTTTAGTAGTAATAAGTAATTTAATTGAATGTGTTTCATTTTAAAAGAAATTTTAAACTTGATTTAGTTATTTTAAAAATATATATATATGAATTTATGAAATTAAAATTAAGCTCACGATTAAGATTACATATAAAAAAGATTATAATATCCTTTTAATATTGATATTAGTTAATTTTATGTTATTTAAAGCTTTATAATAATTTTAAATTTATTAAATAATTTATTATTTAAAAATTAATAAAATATTTTAATATTTTAATAAGATTTTATTTTGAGATTTAAATCTTTCAATAATTTAATAAGATTTAAATTTAACTTTCTTTAAAAATATAATTAAATTTTTTAATAATTTGATAATATTTAATTATGAGATTTAAATCTTTTAACAATTTAATAGAATTAAAAAATATAAATTTATTTATGAATTTGTTTAAAATAATTAAATCTTTTAATAATTTAATAATATTTAATTTAAAATTTAAAATTTTTAATTATTTGATAGCATTGATTTTATTTAAAAATTATTTTTAAAAAAATAATTAAACTAAAGTTTAATTTGAAATTTAAATTTTTTAATAATTTGATGAGATTAAAAAATATTTTAAATATAAATTTTATATCTAAAAAAATTTGAATACATAAAAAAAAAAAAATCAAAAGAATCAATTTAGCTCAACAAAGATGCAGCTAAACTCGACTATAAAGAAAAAAAAAGAAGCGATTTGATTACTCGGCTCAGCTCAATAGATGACTCGGCTTGCAACAATGGATGCCGGTTAACAAGCAACGTCACCAAAACAGATTTCTCAAAATTTTTTTTTGCTCTCCTACTTTTTTTCTTTGATTGATGTCCTTTGTATTAATTGTAAGTCTTTGAATATGGATTTAATCTTAAATCCAATACGAGTCCAAATTTAAAAATAATTATCTTTAACTTCTTTTTTACTCAATTTTAACCTCAAAAATTCAAATAAAACTTACCTATTTCAATTATTTTTGGATCCTAACTCTTCTCTTATATAGTTAGGGACTTTCTTTTTTTTTTTTAACAACCAAAACAATAATAAAAAAACTCAATAAAATAAACACAAAATAAATAAAATAAAATTTTAACTCTAACTAAAACTCCAAACTAAATGAAATGTCTACAATTTTAAAATTAATAAAATTGCCAATCTACATTTATATTTTTCAATTAGTCTTTGATTTACATAAAAAAAATAGTATTCATTTGTATAAACCCCACTTTCCTCCACAATTTAGACAAAAAAATATTTTTTTTTACCAAAAGTTTTAAATTATGACGTTTAAATGAGTTCCTATTGTTGCCTAAAAAATAGGAAACTCGATTACTAAACATTTTTTTAAAAAACAAATACAATTAAATCACTACAGTTTTTATTTATATGTTCAAAATATTATTTAAATTTTTTTTTTTAGTGATAGGCCATGGATTTAAATGTGCAAAATATTCTTTACTTTCTTGTTTTTACTTATCTTTTTTTGATGAGCTTGCTCAAAATGTTGTTTGATGCTTACAATTCAAAGTTCAGCTAATAAAAACTTGACTCTAAACACACTTTATTTAGATAGAAACTGAAACCACTGGAAAGCATACCCCTCAACTAGATGGACTTGGGATCTATGCATTGATGATTGTGAAACTTGAGCTCGCAAATTCAATAATCACTGTGTTATAGTTACATCATTCAGCTATCAAGATCAGGTTATGATCAAAACCAGACACTGCTTGTAGAACTTCAAAATCCTCCAAATAATCAAGCAGGATTGGCTCAACTTCATCGCTAGAGCTTCCTAACCCAAGCCGGCCATTCTTACCACAGCCCCAAACCCACACCTGGCCCTTAGATGTCACAGCAATAGAATGCACCCGTCCTCCTGACACTGACAAAGGTGTTTCCCCTTCCAATCCCTCAATCACGGATGGGAGATTCTCTGGTCCTTGCCTACCTAATTGTGAACATTGGTTCCATCCCCATGAGAAAATGCTCTTCCCACCACCTTCAACATCCGGTGATGCAACCTCACAAATGACCAAAGAATGACCAAGACCAGATGCTACAGACACGGGATGGACGCTTAGATCAACTGGTAACAATCCCAAATCCAGTTTGAGTCTGCCCAGCTGACCATATATGTTACTTCCCGAGCTCAATAAAGTGCCATTACCTGCAATTAGACACTCAAAATTAACAAAGTTGCATGCCAACATCTCCACATGCACAATCGTACATGAATCTGCACAAACTGTTACTTACAGCAAAGAACCAAGGAATGATCAAGCCCACATACAATATCTTTCACTTCAACCCCTTGTAGTTCTTCAACCAATTGAGGTTCCCAAATGATTGGCATGTCTTTCTCTTTCTCCATTCCTTCCAAAACCATTTGCTCAGCAACAGCCAGTCCTGAACCTGAAAACTGTTTGTTATTCATAGATATATTTGCATTTGAGTCCAGCAGAGATGCCTCCAAAGCTTCCCCAACCTTTCCTATCCTACCGTCAGCTGAATAACCCCAGCCCAACAACTTTCCATCCTCTGTCTGTGCAAGGGCATGCCCCCAACCAAATGAAACCTGTCAAAGAAAATGCAATCATGGAATTTCCTTCTTAATAGATATTATAAGCTTTAAGATCAAGCTCAAGCATACTAGCAAAATTTATGGAACTTATGGGGCTAGATTAATCTACCTTAAGAATTTAGGAGCCCACCTTTACTATCTTTTCTCCTGCAAGTGCTTCAACTCTGCGAGGAACAACAGCCTCAGTGATATCCTTTCCAAGACCGAGCTGTCCCCGCTTAGACTTTCCCCATACCCACACAGAACCATCGTCGCCAATTGCGGCAGAAATAACGCCTGATGCAAAAGCAGCACAAACATTCACATGATCCAACCCTTCCACTCTCTTTGGATCATTCCATGAATCTCTGCTCCAATCAACAATGAACCACTTCACATTAGGATAAATCCTTAAATGCAATGTGGATCCATAATAACAATTTCTCTTATAACTAACTATGCCAAAACAAGTAGGTTATTCACAAGAAAATCCAGGACCAAAAATCTTTCTTTTGGCTAAATTTAAATTTGTACAATATATCAAAACATTGATCACCCTAAAGAACTAGATTGAATTTAGTTCCTATATGCTGTAACACAATTTAGCTTACAACAATGTTAACCAAGCTTTATCATAATTAACACGCAACTAGGAATAAAAAAAAGATCAGTTTCCCACCAAATTAAAAACTGGGTAAATGACAAAATCAAAATTTGATTGAACTGACCTCGGAGCAAGGGAATCACGACCCAGCTGGGCCTCCTGGCTACGGCCCCAAGCCCAGAGTCCACCGCGAGAATCAATAGCGAGCGAGTGATAATGACCAGCGCTGATGCTGGTGATATCGGAAGGGAGACCGGGGACCCGGGTGGGCTCGTAAGCGTCGCCTCTGGGACCAGTCTCTGACTCGGGTAGACCCAATGCCCCCTGGTTGCCGTCGCCAAAGCTCATTACCGTACTCATCCATCTTGGTTTAGTAGTAGTACTCTGAGCGCATAAGGCTTCAGCGGAAACTGCAAGTGCCGTTTTATTCCTTTGATGACGCTTCCACAAGGATCGGCTAACCTGCATTTTAACTACTAGCTTTGTGAATGTGTTGGCAATGGCGGATCCGCATTTGTATAACTTGGAATTTGGGCTGATGGGTTGACCCAACATGAAATTGGGTCGTTTTGGACTTTGGGTTTTAATTGGATCGAAAAATAATATTACGATGCTATTATGTACAAAAGAGAAAATTATACATTCACCAACAGATTGTATAGGTTGTTGATATCCCATTTTAATATCTCAAATTTATAAACAAAAATATTTTTCTTTGGCAGCTCAAACTCAAAATTTTATCGACATAATTAAGAAAAAGTTGACTTAAATATTTTTTTATAATATTTAGTAAACTATAGTATTTTTATAATATGGTGATTAGGAGTATTGTAAGTTCTATTTGATTTTTTTTTTTCGAACAATGTTAAAAACTTTACTCATGTATTGTATCCTTATAATGATTTTTTTTTAATACAACAAAGTCTCAAATTTAAGTAGGGATTGCAACAAGACAGAACGAATTTTTGACAATCCAAATCATATTCGATCATATATAATTTTAACTTGAAGTCATCTCGTTTTAATGTTGGATTTTTTTTTTTAATATCCGATTCTAATTAAAAAAATGAGTAAGTTTTATTTGTTTCACTTTGTTTCAAAATTTATTTTTGATATTATTTTAATGAAATTTTGATGAAATTTTTATCTTTTAATATAAGTTACATTTTAATTAATTTAAAAATATTATTTCATATTCTTAAATTAATCTCTTTAATCTTATAAAACAAATTTATTAATATATTATACATATATCTAATAATAAAAAATAAAATATTTTATTTTTAATTATACTACAGGCCGAGATTGAGGGCCCTAAACCCGATCTTGATCTAGATTTTTTTTATTTTAAAACATAGCTTGCCCCGCTTGATCTTTTTAACTTCCAAACAAAAAATTTTCACCCTTATCAGATTGGAGGGGACAGAACTTGTCGAAAAGCTTAAGAAAAAATGGAGAAAAAAATTACGGAGTGCCAAAAATTCTTGCAATGAATTTTTTTGTTTTCACCGGCAAATTTGGCGCCTCACCCTCACTCCCCCAATCATTCTGCAAGAGTTTCAAACTTCTTCTTAGAAGATGTATATGTTGCAAAATTATCCAAAAATATTGTAAAGGGAGACATAATTAGAAGATAGTTGCTACACCTCTAATTCAGAAAAATGAAACATTTTTAAACCTGTAAAAAAAAAAAAACTAAAAGCTTTTAAATAGCCAAAATATCTATAATTCCAATTTCCAAATTATTTGCTAAACTTGATTTTCTAAACTTGCATTTAAGCAAAGTCCATTTTCAACAAAAATATCCAGATTTTTTTTAGGAGACACAGAATCTACCAGGGAAAGAGTAATGGTTTAACAGCCAGCCATGTGGCAGTGGAGTTTCTGCTGTCAGGTACATCATCGGGGCAATATCTCTTATCCAGTTAATCAAACTACGTGTACACTCCTTGTTGGACAACGAGATCCCAACCTAATCTCGAGATTAAGTTGAGCTCTCATGTCATCCACCGGGATTTCCACCCCACAAGTAGTGGCTTAGATTGGTCCTTATTTCCTGACTTGTTTCGTTGGCGGAGTTTACTACACACCCAGAAAGCAAGTTTGCCGCAAAGAAAAGATGGCAACGCAAGCACTTCTATCAGCATCTCTTAGCTCCTCAGTGGAGACTGCCAGGCAGATTCTAGGAGCTAGACCACTCCAATCCCAAATTGGATCCTTAAGGAAGGGATCTTTTGTTGTTAGGGCAGCTTCCACTCCTCCTGTTAAGGTCTCATTCTTCCCATATTCTCCCCATTAATATGATCATGTTGTGTCTTTTTCTTTTGTTGTTTTTACTTAATATTAATTGTTAATATGGCATTTTCAGCAAGGAGCGGATAGACCCTTGTGGTTTGCATCTAAACAAAGCCTTTCATACTTGGATGGCAGGTAAAAATGACCAGATGCAAGCGGTTTATGGCATTTTGATGTACTGATAGGCTGCTCCTTTTCCATAGCACTGACATCTAGATAAGTGATCTAATCCTTCAAATTTGCTGCCTTTCAATTCTACAGCCTTCCAGGTGACTATGGATTCGACCCATTGGGGCTCTCAGACCCTGAAGGTCCAGGAGGGTTCATCGAGCCAAAATGGTTAGCCTATGGTGAAGTAATCAACGGGCGTTATGCTATGATGGGTGCAGTTGGTGCCATTGCCCCTGAAATACTTGGGAAGGCTGGCCTCATTCCTCCAGAAACAGCCCTCCCTTGGTTTAAAACTGGTGTGATCCCACCAGCAGGAACATACAACTACTGGGCAGACCCCTATACTTTGTTTGTGTTCGAGATGGCACTCATGGGATTTGCAGAACACAGAAGATTCCAAGACTGGGCCAACCCAGGTTCCATGGGGAAACAATATTTCTTGGGATTCGAGAAGTATCTTGGAGGGTCTGGAGAGCCAGCATACCCTGGAGGGCCACTTTTTAACCCACTTGGTTTGGGAAAAGATGAGAAGTCATTGAAGGATTTGAAGCTGAAAGAGGTGAAGAATGGGAGATTGGCTATGTTGGCAATCGTGGGTTACTTCATCCAAGGGCTTGTAACAGGAGTAGGGCCATTCCAGAACCTCCTAGATCACTTGGCTGATCCTTTCAACAACAATATCTTGACTAACCTCAAGTTCCATTAGATGAAGTGCCTGCTTTGTTGCATGGAACTACCCAAGCCCCATCTCCTATCTCCTTAGCCTTTCCTGATCTCATTGTAACATGTGAAAATTTATTCTGTAATTTGTGAGAAAGAACTGAAATAGACTTGTTATTGTATTAAGTATCATTTTCCTCCGACACCTTTGACCAAAGAGAATTTACATAGGGATGTTGGAGAAGAGATTCACCATGGAGAAGTGAACATTAACATTTCCTATTTGCATACTGAACGTAGGATAGTCCTAATTATTCTGCCACTGTTTGAAGCAAAAGAGGTAGTTATACAGTCAAATCAAGAAATTTTAGAAGAAAGGAAGACGCATTTGATATTTATGGAGAAAATAATAAAGCTTTTCAAGCATGTTTAATCAAAGGAAAAGGCCTGCATGGTCATTACAGTAACAAACATTTCTGTACAGAGGTAGGCACACTGACATCTTCAAAATCAGGAGAAAAGCAAAATAAGATTCTCAACTCTATGATGACTGCTTCAGGGTTAGACCCTCAGGCACCAGTTTGGAGACGAAATTATGCAACATCTTTAACTAAACAGCCTGAGCAACAGGTTCATCTGAACTCGATGCTCCTAGCCTGAAAATTAAAGAGAGTCGTGAACATAACAAAAGTCGCTGCATTAGCAAGAATTATAGCAGGAATAATTTATTAATATCAGCTGCTAAAGTCCTATTGTTCCCCCCCCCCCCCCGGGCACACTCTTTCAACCCCGCAAATAACACCCACCCAAGTACCAAAATAACCTTGAGAAGATTATCACATGAGAAACATAAATGTTTTGGAGGTATTGCTCTACCTTTGAATTCCTTCTCCTACTTCCATTCTGAAAAAGTTCCCAATCTTCACAGGTGAGCCCACTTCCTTTGATATATTATCCAAAATTGTCTGGAGCAGGGTATAAAGTTTTAATAACTATTATACTTTTAATCACAAGCAAATGCACAGGTATGCCTAGTCAACAAGCATTTTAAAGCACATAAATCTTTACACCCACAAAAGTATCTATGTGTATTGTGTGCACACAGACAGCACGTTCCAGCAAGAAACATCCATATTGCATAGGTTGGTAGAAGTGGCACCATCCTGAAATAAGTCCAGCAACAACTAATGCGTACCAAGTCCAAAGGCACACTAGTCTTGACAGCCTCAACCTTCTAAATTTATACCTCTTTAGCCTTTGAAATCCCAATCCCATGAAGAAATAAGGCAGAGCTATGAATTTCATATCAGAAAGCAAGTTTAAGTTTAAAATACAACAGAAAGGCCTCACAAACCTTTACACTTAGAGAGTCATTTAAGAAATACTTTTGCTCCATTAGAACAACCTCCTCAAAGTATTTACGCAGACGACCTTCAACCATTTTCTCTATGGCCATCTCAGACTTTCCAGTACTTTCAGCCTGACATACAAAATAAATTGGTAAACATACAAAATGGAGTCTAAGATTGAGTAGTTATATTACATTGTACATGATGCATCAACAAAAAACTACTTCCAAAGAATTTATGTTTCCATTGGTAGAAAGTGTGCCATCCAAAAACAACTAGGGACTAAGCTGATAGAAACACATTTAAATCTTATGCAAGAGTCTACATGTTGCCATGTGATTTGTAGATGTACCCAAAGAAGGTTTTGTACTTTCTGAGGCTTTATACATTTAAGTTGCTATTAATTCTAAATGACATTTATCATGCGAAATGGGAGATAGATATGTTTTACATATGTAAACTCAACTGTCAAATCACAAAAAAGGAAGAATAACATATCATGTGCAAAATGATTCTAAAACTAAACCAAATTACTAGGTAGAATCAAAGAAGTAAATTTATTTCTTTCATTGTGGCTCATTTACAGCCAACACATTCGGCTGAACAAAAATCTTCTCCATAATAAACCAATTTTCTCATCATGGAGTTGGGATTACTAACTTCATCATTACCACAAAAGCATAAAAAATAATAGCTATTAGAACCTGCTCTCATTATTGATTCTGCAAAGGATTTTGGCAGGATTGGTCACCAGTTGACCAGGTAGGTAAATAGGTGAAACCTATAAATATATTGAATATTATGTACTAATATATTGATGCCAGTTAAAATACTTAATTATACATAAAATATCTATTTAACTTGTAAGTTGTAAGCTACATATGACATAAAACCTAGTCTAAAGTGGCTTATCCAATAATGCACATGGCCTCGGTTAAATTCCCACCAAAATCACTCATGTGACTTTAATTGACACAAATTTGCAAAGGAGTCAAACTGGTTTGCGCTGGATCTTTAAAAGGTCTGGCTCATAAGTATGACAAACACTATCAAGTTTAATAACTATGCTAACAATGACTTTTAAGTCATCTACTTGTTAGTGTCTAAAGAATGTGTCAAAGGTTGTCACATAGAAGAAAATTTTAACTCTTGGCATCCATGAAATAATGGGATTTAAATTCGATAACACTAGATGCAACCGAAAATGGAATTACAGGTACCTGAGACCTTAGAATCTCATGTTCATTATTAAGTGCATCAGAGGTCACTAATTCCTTTGTCAAGGATATTGGCTTTGCTGCCACGATATGCATTGCTAGCTCTGAGCCAACCTTCTGGAGGGCATCCAAATGAGAAACCTCATTCTCTACTTCAAGAGATAAAATTCCAGCAATTCAACCTAAACCTACATCCACATAAAATAGTTATTATATCTTTTGTTGTGCCATATCCTCTTTTCCTGCAAGGCAATAAGATTACAACTAAGATAACATGTCAAAAGATGGGTGAGAAATGTCTTCTATGTCTGTGTGGGCAAGGACACATGCATGTTGTCTACCAAGCAATAGGATAGCAGCACAAGAAACAAACCTGGTTGAGGACATCTATGGAGGTAAGCAGAAACAACACCTTGTGGTGTTGACATCACAAAACCCCTCCTGAGTTTTACATTCTCTCCCATCATTGCAGCCACTTCAGTAACTGCACTTTGAATGGTTGTCTCCCCACTAATTTTGGGATGTTCAAGATTTAATTTTAAGTCCTGGTAGAAAATGAATGGTTAATCAACTTCAGACATAGAAATTCCAATTATAGGTGCAAAAGAGTCAAAGATTGAAACAGGAATTTGATATATACTCAGAATAAAATCACCAACATAAATAACTTATGCTAATCTACCAAATCTTTTACTTGCATTGGTTTCATCTGGAGATCAATTAGTGTTTCACAACATGCATGAACAAGAATGAGTTCAGAATAAAATTAAAAAAACTACATATGATTACTTTTGACAACTATAACAAGAGAATGCACTTATAAACCAAAACCAAAGTCCGACTTTAAAATTTGAAGAGACAAGACAACAATGAATTCATGACTAAATACAATCCACTTTTCCATACCCTTGAGAGAACGCCAGACATGTTCATTAGATGAGGTTCTACAAAAATGATAATTCTTGATCACAAAGATTGAAGATAGAGTGAAATTTTAAAAGAATTTTCCACCTTATAATATGGACTAAGACATTGTATAAGCAAAAGGGTAAAAACGAACAACATATCTCATGCTGGTTCAATAAGAAAAAATAATAAGCTTTTAGCATAGAAACTTCTCACCTCTAAATACTCAGGCCCAAATGAGAAAACCCCAGGAACCTGTTGGGAAGAATTTTCAACCAACAAAGCTTGCTTTGCCAAAGCCAAAGCCTGTGTGAAAGAAAATATTGATAAATTACAAGCAATAAAGCAGAACCAAAATAAGTAACAACAGTCATACAACAAAGGGAAACAGAAAGCATAAACATTCATATGAACTGAATAAAAGCAAAAACTTCTGAGAACTGGCTTCAAATGAGATTTTGCATTAACAAGAGAATCATTAACCCCCACTAACCAAGTACTCGAAAATTTCATTCCTTGCCACAAAATCAGTCTCGCAATTAAGTTCAATTATTGCAGCCTTGCCCTCATTTTGAGCCATAGCAGGCAGACCCTCAGCAGCGGTCCTCGACGACTTTTTCATGGCCAAAACCTTTCCTCTTTTCCGCAAATCTTTCTGTGCAGCCTCTGCATTAAAACAAAACCATAATCCAAAAGAATTTAATATAAAACCAATCCAAAAACCAAAACAAACAGAAAAAACAAATCATATCTGATAAAAACAAAAACTGAGTATTTTCTATTCTATACCAATATCCCAATTGCAATCAACGAGAGAAGCTTTGACATCCTTTATGGGGGCACTTGTTCTTTCCCTTAGTTGCTTGATAAGGCTCATTTGTTCAGCAGAGGAAGGAACCTGAGAGTTGAATTTTCTTGAAACCCAATATAAATAAGCAGTTTTTGAGGCTTTCATATCTGTAGATTGAGCAATGGAGGTTCCTTTGGTTGCCAAAGTAGAGTATCCATGCCCACTACAAGTACTCAGCCTGGTGTTGTACAATAAGATCCCAAGCGGACGCTTTGCATTTCTGAAGAAAGCCATTTTCTATATCTAATATTTTGCTGCAAGTAATGATATTTCAAAAGAAACCCATCAAAAAAGTGGCAAACAGAAAACCCAGAGTTCACGTTAAAATCAGGGTTTAAGGGTTTTAGAGAGAATTAAAAGTAGTAATAAAAAGATTTCAGTTTTTGTTATTTAAATCACATGAGAGAGAGAGAGAGAGAGAGAGAGATAGAAGACAGGGAAAAGAGGCTGACCTTAGAATGAAATGAGTGTGTATTTGCAAAGATGCGGAAGTGGAACGATGAAAATTTTGATGGAACACTTCACTAGTATAAACCTCAGTTTCTGCTAATTGAGATGAGTAGAGCCGGGAAGGACTCGAGTCTCGACCCAAAAATGGGCTAAGACCCAGCTGATTTGGTGGAAGCGAGCCCAAATTTGATGCGGGCTTCGGTTTGTTCCAACGTATTTCGGCTAAAGTCCACAAACAAATAAGAAAAAAAATGAGGGGGAAAAGAAAGCACAATCATTGTTAGGGATCAGTGCAAAGCATTCATTGAGCTGTGCATTTTATAACGGTGAAATTGAGACAAAGGATCATATATTTTTTACTTGTGTTTACTCCAAGCAAATATGGACGAAGGTTCTTAATGTTAGATAGGGCCATGAGAGAATGGCATGCTGAGTTGCTATGGGCAAGAAACAAACTTATGGGAGAGCTCTAATATCAGTCATTTCCAGACTAAC